TGCTACAGCTCATTGAGTCGGGCGACGAGAGGCCAGGAATTACCCAGTGGTGGGCACTTAGCTGAGGCCAAGGCTGGTTTAATTAGGATCCTGGCCCTGCGGGTGGGAATGTTTGCTACATCTGTGAGCATAAATGTTAAATTAAATCCAATCTCAGAAGTCACTGCGCAAAAGTTCTCATGGCATCGGTGCTCAGGCAATTGCTGAGAGGGCATCGTCCTCACCGGCCACTGCCGCTTTGCTGTGAGGCCCAGTCACACTCTGAGCTACCACCTCATCTATCTGAGCTCTATTTCTGTGCATTTTACTCTAGCAAATAAGAATAAATGTTTAATCTAAGTTTTAGAGTTCTTTAAAACAGAACATAAAACATGTGGTCTATTCTTTAAGGTTTATAAATTTAAAACTTACATTTAGATAGTTAAAATATAAAATTCATAAATTGCTAAAATGAAAAAACCAAATAAATAATCCTCCTCAATCATGGTATTATAGAAAACCACTGGACTAGGAGTTTGGAAACCTGCGCCTTAGTTTTCTCTTTGCTTCTCATTTTTTGGACAGTAATATAATTTTTGAAGAGTAATTTAAATTTTCCTGGGCCCCAATATACGAGTCTGTAATTTAAGAAAATTTTAATGATTTTGGCTTGAGTTCATTCCATATTAAGAAGTAAAAATAATCTTTACTCCTGTAATTCTAAACATTCATTTATGACAGCACTTTTCCAAATCTTCACATGACTTGGGCAGCGCTACCTGTCTGTATTTTGCTGATACGAAAACTCAGGGAGGTCCAGTGTCCTGCCTTAGGCCACCTACAGGGGAAACGGCATGGGAGAAGTCTGTACCCATTTTGGTCTCAGCCCATGTGAACCCCATGACTCACTGCGATTAAGGTGAGATCACTGGAAGAGGCAACTCTCTCCGCTGGACACAGCATCTAACAGCACGAGATCCCCCGGGACCTTTATTTTAACATTTGTGCCACCACGATGTGGTCTCAGCTGCAGAGGCTGCACGGGATCCCTGTACTGGATTTTCCTCTTCCTGACTCAGCTCTCTTCTCCGTGGGACAGAAAGACTTGGAAGCATAACTGTGGGAGCACATGCCCGGGGAGGTCTGGACAATGGACCAGCTGGGAAGTGCTCCCTGCTTCTGGTCAGGGAGGCTGCAACCAACGTCAGCTTCCCACAGGGGCCTGGCTTCCTCCCTGATCCAGGACCTCTGGACGACGCTGCCGACAGCTCCCCGGTCCCCAGCCGGCTTGGTGCCCAGGACTGACTTCCCCCAGACAAAGCTGCTCTCCTTGCCCTGTGGGAAGCAGCAGAAGCAAGGGATCCCTTGGAATATACACCCTTGAGGTATTCAGCTCCCTTTTCTTGGTGATCCTGGTTTGTAAGGTTCTCCAATAAAGAACAGTCCCCGCTGCTGCTATGTGGTGTGATTGGACCCGAGGCCTGCTGTGTAGCAGGTGGTGAACAAGAAGGGACCTACTTTCCACAGTCTGTTTTCATTTTTTAAAAATCCTCCCCTGAAGATATGTTTTCATTGCTTTTAGAGAGAGATGAAGGGAGAGAGGGAGAAACACTGACGGGTTGCCCTCTGGTATGCACCCTTATCAGGAATGGAATCTGCAACCTGGCCATGTGCCCTGACCAGGAACCGAACCTGTGACCCTTTGGTCTATGGGATGATGCTCCATACCAACTGAGCCACACTGGCCAGGGCTGTTTTCGTTTCTTAAGATTCATTTGGAGTCATTAAAAATTGCAAGGAGAAATATATAATCAGGAATTGCAAACAGCTATGTATCCCCTACTGCACAATTCACAGTATGTTTTCATATTCTATATTCTATGTAATTCTTCCCCAAACCTGGCAAATCAAGATTGATTTTTATTATACAGACAATAAATCTTAAGTTTCATGTTGGTTAAAAGCTTCCCCCAACAACAGCAAACCTGGGCCTGCACATACGGTCTCCCAGCTCCAAGTCTTGCTTCTGACACTTTTGGGAACACACCCCTAGAACAGCTATTCATTCCAAAATACAGAAAGCATCCACAGAGCGGGTCCTCCGCCAGGTGCTGGTGAATTCGAAGACTGATAAGACATCACTGAAAGCTTTCTTTCTTGAGCCAAATGGGGAAGATCATTATAACAGCTATTTATTATAAACATATTCACATACTTTTCAGTTTGCTCAAATACAATGTCTCCATTATGAGGCATGAGAGAAACGTCACAGAAGCGAAGGGGAGAGGGCAAGGTAACTGCAGCTCAGCCAGAAGGAAACAAGGCACCAGCAGGGCCCATGTCCTGGAGTCACTGTGAAAAGCTGTGATCCAATTAGATCTGGCCAGAGGGGCATGTGCGGGACTGAGGCTGCCTCTCATCTGTGATCTGAGTTCAGGTGGGTTCCTGGAAATGTTTTCAGATGCAAACACATTGCTCGGAAATCTGTATTTCCTGTTGGTAACCCTACTAATGGTGTCCCTCTGGGGTTAGACATGATGTGACGCTGGCGCCTCACACTTAGTATCTTCAAAGTCAAACTCATCATCTGCCCCGCCCCAGGTTTGTTTCTCAGCGGACCTGTGGCCCTGCCGGCACGCCACTTCCAGGTGCCCGATGGGCAGCCTACCCAGTCTCCTCTCTTTCTTCTTCAACAGTCGTAACTACTGAGTCCTGTAGGTGCCATTTCCAAAATATCTCACATATATTTCCTCTTCTTTTTTAAAAACATTTTATTTATTTATTTTTAGAGGGGAATTGAGGGAGAAAGAGATGGAGAGAAACACTGATGTGAGAGAGAAACAGCGATCAGTTGCCTTTTGTACGTGTCCCGACTGGGGACCGAACCTGCAACCCACGCATGTGCCCTGACCAGAATGGAACTGGTGACCTTTTGCTTTGTGGGACAATGCCCAACCTTCTAAGCCACACTGGTCACGGCTGTATTTTTCTCTTCCCCATGATCTTTCCTCTCAAGGGCTATCACGACATCCTCTTTCTCCCCACCTCTTCCATCAAGACTGCCCCACAGGCGCATTGTAATAAACACGGTTCCTACCATACTAAAAAGAATGGACGCTCCCATGTTCTACCTCCTCCACGCTTAGTCCTCCTGTGGTTCTGCTTTCTTCTCCACATCACATTCCTGAGCTACTGCACGGACGGTCCCCCAAGTGATCATGCTTATCCATGCCTCTCCTCTAGGACCAGCTTGCAAGGAAGATTGTGGCTGGCAAGCCCTTCCCCTTCAAGAAGCATCCCTCCCTGTACGGACACTCCTCGCTCCTCCCTCCGCTCCCTCAGCTGGGCTTCAATTTCCCCCACTGGTTTTGTTGTTACCCTGTAGTGTTACCCTGCAGGGGTAACTGCAGTGTTTGCATCAGAGACTTACACTATGTTGTCCATTTGTGAGCATGCTGAGGACAAAGAGCGCCCCCTGTTGCTCATGGTATCCCCAGTACTTAGCATGGTGCCTGACCAAAATGGATTTCACTTGACTGTATGCACTAGATCTTCCTTTTCCTGACTCTCTCAACCCTCCTCTGCGGTAGGACAGAAAGAACTAAACACCGTGGGGTGCCCCGACTGTGAACCGTCCGGGACGGAGCTCACACTTGCAGTGAGGGAGGCTGTACCCCATGTCAGCTTCCTGAAGTGGCCATGAGTCACTGCTGAACAGATGAATGAACCTGCGAGAGTCCTGGAACTTGCTTAAGGACGCACAACTGTAAAAACTGCCAACAGAACAGACACTGGGACAGAGGTTCTCGCTATCGTCGTTGACTCTTTCCTCCCACCCCTCGCTGACTCCTGGGCACACAGACTTCAGTCTATGTTTGTTGAGTAAATGACTGAACGATTGAGTGATGAAATGAATGAAAAAGTTAACGTCATTCAATTGTCCTTTTGATTCCATTTTCTTGATTTCCAGTCTTGGTATGAGTGTGTGCACTAATACCTTTCAAATACAATTAAAAATTGAGTATCGTGACTTTCTCTTTACAAGAAACCGCAATGAAAGAATGATGACAGCTATTCACAAACACACAGAAATTGTAAGCCGCTGCCAATATATAGCCTCAGTAACTAATTTACTAAAAACATTTTAAGAAGCATGTAAAACAGGCAACTGCAGTAAACTGTGGTTGGTCACGCGAAGAAACAAAGGGCTGTGCTCTGTGCTGATGCCCGGGGGCAGGAAGGCAGCAGAGACCCTCCTCAACCCCCTGTTGCCCCCACATCTCTGAATCTTAAGAAGCAGGTGCAGGGTGTGTGCTCCTGGGGAGAACCACACTTAGGTTTGTGTTTTTTCCACCTAAACTTCCAGGGCCTCGTTTTCACAGGGAAGGACAGCTGATTTTATCTTTATCTATTTCGGACACAAACCCCGCCATTCACTGTGAAGCAGGACAAAAGCCAGCAGAGGAATGAAAGAAACCCAAAATAGGTCCTTCTCGAAGTGATTTCTATCAGAGTGAGACACAGCTGAGGCACGAAAGGCAGCAGAGCAGCAAGCACCGCTGCAGGAGACAAGCGCGAAGACGGTTCCCCATGCCCTCCCACGCCCCTTCTTTTTGTGTCCAGCCACCGAACACAAACGCTGCAGGAGGCGACGCCCGCGCCCTCGGAGACTGCTCCCTGCAAATGCTCCCACTCGCCTGCACGTGGGCTCCTGGCTGCTGGTGTCCCCTCCATTGTCCCAAAGCACATGTATAATGCAAACCACTGCCTCCTACAGGGCTCCCTATTGTCTTCTCTGGATAATATGCCGATACATCACTCGCGGTCTACCTACTTCTAAATGCACACCCTTGTGCCCTGACCTCTTTCTGCTTTTAGGTTTTCCAAAACGCTCTTGACTTTTGTCGACTGGGTGAGTTCCAAACCTTCCCAACCTATGGCCGTATTATTTCGGCACTTTTCAAGTTTTCCCTCCCACCAGCGACCGAGCAGCACAGGGGCCGTGCGGCGCCGGCACTCACCACTGCTTGTAGTCCGCGTCGCAGTTACAGTAGTACTTGGGGTCTGTGCAGTTGCGCTCGATGCCGCAGGCGCACTTCTGAATTCCAGGCCCGGAGCCTCCCCAGTAGTAGTGCTTCTCGTTGGCTTTGCCAACCCACCAGGTGTACGGGCTTCCATCTACAAGAGAGGGGAAAGGTGTGTTGAGATCGGGCTAGGAGTGAGTCGTGGGAATGTCCTGCTCCCCCAGCAGCGGCGCTGCCCTCTGACAGACTGGACGGCACTTACCCCTCTCAAAAGTACAAGTATTTCCATGATAGGAATATTTAACTAAAAATAGTAGAGGGAATTGTCAGCTCAAATGTTCCCAGCAGGATATGCACCTCTTTCCTTGGTAGAATCCTTACAGCCAAGCTTCTGCAGTTGAGATTGTGTAAATGGGCAGCCCGGATGGGATACGTCCACAGGGAAGGCGTGCTGGAGCACAGTGCTTCTGCAATGCAGCGCTAACCCCGTGGCTAGTCATGCCTTTCTGTGAAATCATACTCACGGAGGCTACAGAATACTAGAGCGACATGTGGACTCTCACTGTGTCTTAGGGTGACCGGGTGGGAAGGTGAGACGTTGAGGGAAGGCCAAAGAAAGGATGATGAGCCTGGAACACAAAACTGGGAGCGGCTACAGGAGGCTGGATCTCGGGAGCATGTTCCTAGCCCTAGGCTCTCTGGGATGCAGGCTCTTGAAGACTTCAAGTCTTCCCTAGGAACAGTTTTGGTGAAAGTTGGGCAATTTAAAGTGTTGGAACTGTCCTGGGACTGAGGTTCAGGCTTGCTCACGCTCTGAAACTGGGAAGGAGTTATTCAGATGTTCTCCTACTTCAGAAAAACATCTAGATTTTCTGGCTGTATTGAATTAATTTGGAAAAGTTGCTACTTGTCCTTTGCCATGACCATACATGACACCTGGGTTTTTAAAAAATACATACTTGACTCCATCTGATAAGCAGTAGAGAGGGAGACCTCGGTGCCCTGTGGTGAAGGGAGGAAGAAGCCGGCGCTCCAAAAGGAGGGTCCGCCGAGCCTCTCTGCTGCCTTCCTGGGCCTCATCCCAGCACACAGGAGGGCTGCGTTTGCTTTCTACCTGCAAGATATTTTGCTTCTCCCTTCTCTTTCCATTAGAGTAAAGCATCCAACTCCTGATGCTTCCCATTTTGCAAACACAATCAATAGAAAACTCTTGTTTTCTTTTGATGCAGTTAAGAGTTTAGAAAAAACAAATAAGGCTTAAAACAATCCCTTTTATGGAAACTATAAAATCTGAGCCAGATCATTTGGCCTCTGAGCTGCATGAGGCCTCTGCTGGGTCCATCACTGGCCATGTCACAGGCGGAGGGCAGAGGTGGACAGTGTGGAGCCAACCTTGCAAAGGCCCCTCGCGTCTTCCAGACACCCCACCTGAGAATGGAGACTCATGACCTAGACTGGCTATCTCATCATCTACTGCTCTGCATCTTTTCAAGCTGACCTAACACCAATTCTTTTCCTCAAAGGCATTTTGGTTATTATCATTATTTTTGGAAACTAGAGGGCACTAATGCACCTGGTGGAGGTCAGGAAAGAAGCAGACACCTGGAGAACTGGAGGTATGGATGGTCTGGTAGGAAGCGCCCTTGCTCTGTCTGTAGCTCAAATAATCAATGAGAGCATATATCGCACAACCTCAGCTCACTTGCGATTATTTCTTCCAGTGGCTAAAACAATGCAATGATGCTACAGTTTCATGAGAGAGTGTGATGGTAAACTGTACGAACCAAAAGACTGCCTCAGCATGCTTTATACAAATCAAGAGTGGTCTCAGTAAAAGCAGCATGACAATTATCAGCCTCTCCTTCACAGAAGCCCAGGAGAGGAAGTGTCGCTATCTTGGATGGTGGGCGCCCCAGTTGGAGCCCTAGGCTCGCTGGGATGCAGGCTCTGAGCTAGGCTCACAGAGCAGACCCTCAGCTCCTGTCGGGAGGGGACCTTACTAGAAACCAGAACAGGATCCAAAGGGAGATGCAGTGACACCTCTTTATTCACTGCAAGGAGGTGACACATGAGTGACCAGGTAAGAGTAGCCCAATTTCCTATTTCTTCCCCCACCTTCCACCTCTTTCTTAAATCCCAATACTTCAGTCTTATGTAGCTAATGGTCTCAGTTAGGGTGATGCAAAATCAATGCTGTTTTGTTTTTCTTCCTGGGAAAAGAAGTTCAGTGCAATACAAAACGTGTTGCTGAGCTATTTCCACATATGCCATGAGCAGAAGAAGGCCAATAAGAAAAAAATAAATCCAAGGAAAGAGAAAATTGTATCCTTTGTTATTAGCTCCAGCTAATTTGGCTAAATTAAATAACTACCATTAAAGTAAATTATCCCTGGCCAGGCAGCTCAGTTAGAACGTTGCCCCAATACACCAACGTTCTGGGTTTGATACCTGGTCAGGGCACATTCAAGAATCAACCAATGACTGTATAACCTAGTGGAAAAACAGATTGATCTCTCTCTCTCTACCTCAAATCAATAAATAAGTTAAATTAAATTAAAAAATAAACAAATGATTAATTTGGTGTATATTTGGTATTCAGCAAGAAGAGAATGACTCAATTTGCTTTGAGCATAGAACTGCCTTTTTCCTGTGCTATGCTAATGAAGTTCTGCTTTTGCTTTACGAATCATTATTTACCTGTTAATTGGCTTTGGGGGAAAGCAGTTCAAGGCGATAAAAACGAAAAGATTTTCTTTTTAAAGACAAGAATAAGAAGTGGTTAGAAAACAAATAATTTAATTATCTAGTGCCAAGAGTTCAAGAACTCCTCTATCCTCAGAACATGAGGATTTCTGTTAACTTTATTAAGTAGGTGTAATCGCTGGCACAAGATTACACAACGATGAACCATATTGCAAGTTAACCAGAAGTGGAATGATCAAAGGCAGGCATGCTGTATTGAAAGAGCCAAACATGGAGTGAATTAAATATAATCACTACGCTGTTTATACTCACTTATGATCAGGCTTTACTATGGTGATGGGCTTATTATGGTTTGGATGATTAACTTGGCAAAGGGATAAAGAAAAGAGGCTACTTGTAGCCCAAGACTCAGAGAAACCAATGGATCACTGTTATTTTTGCAAGAACAACAAGCTGTTTCAGAAACACAAGGGCAATGCAGTGGGACCTCTTGTGGCAAGTGTGGTACCTACCTGAGGTTTGCAAAATGTGTTCTTTGGATCTTCTGGGCTACACGAAGTAACTTAATAGTTTTCTTAAATAAATAGTATCCTGGTACTCTCAACGATGAGACCCAGGATGATCACTGGGACATTTAATTAGTTCTATTCCATCCACTTCTAGAGGCTATTATAAACAATACCATGAGGGTTTACAGCCTCCAAAAGGAAAACTTAAAAGCATCATGTTAGTTTAAGAAAACCTAGTTTTATTATACCTACTACTATCTAGTTATCTACAAATTCCGTTAAAGACCTCACAGGGGGCTTTTTAGCAGAGGAAATATAACAGGTACCAAAGCCGCAGAAACCTGCCTTTCAACGTTCTGCTTAGCACCCCCTGGTGGCAGCTTCCTTACAGCCCTCCCCAGGCACCTGCTTCTGGTAGCCTCTGGCTGTCTGAAGCCCTTACAGGGCAGGATCTTTGCTCTAAAAAAGTAACTGTGCTCTGAAACGTGTCCCACTTCCTCCTCCCTTCCATTTTTTCCATGGCACCGCTGAATCATTTTTTCTCCACTTCATTAGTTTCAGCCAACCACTGTGATCTGATTACAATACTCCATACCCAGATAGGACTGGTGATAACATGCTTCCTAATAAATACCTTTAATTGGTGTAATTCTAGAGTGTATATGCCAAACAATCCGGGACCTGTGAGAGCCTTCCTTCCAATGCAAAGGACTCCTAGGAGGAGGGGGAGGTAAGACCTTGTCAGAAGCTCCAGGCTGCCTTAGAGGAGAGGAGACCTGCAGGTACTACAGCTGCGACAGAGAGCCAGGCCTCCAGATGCTCTGCCGGCTGCAGTTAGGAAGATCTAGCAGGACAGAACCCCCTTCCTGCAGCAGGAGACATGGCCAGTCCCATGGTCCTCAGAGCAAACGCTGACAGCTGCTCGCTCCCAGGCATTGGGAAGGGGCACAGGCCACAAGTCCTAGAGTTCTCTGGCCTAAACCGAGGCAGCTTCTTTTCCAAGTGTGGAGTTTGTACGCAATGACCTCCAAGAACTGGACTGTGGCAGCCATGGTTGGTCTCTGGGTCCTCACAGAAAGATGAGGGCTCGGACGTGAAGTGACTGTTCCCATGTTTCCCCTCTGGTGGGGATCAGTCAGTGTCCCGAAGTGTTTCCAACTCATCGAAGGCAAGAGTCATCCCAGGCTCCCTTCTGGCCCACAGAATAAGGTCTATAGAACAAGAATCTCAGAGGAAGGTCTTGACATTTGGTAATCCTGGAAGTCCTTATCACCAGACAGGTCTGCCATACACAGACCTGGAGAAGTGAGTGTGGGTCTAGTTCAGAGAACACAGAGGACCCTCTGGGGTGCAGTCCAGGACCTTGTATTCCAGGTGAGGGCTGATGAGGCGGTAATGTAACAGTAACACCTCCATTTAAAATGCCAGTGTTTTTCCCCAGAATAATCTAGTCATTCTAATTTTTTTTTTTTTTTTTGGCAAATTTGTAACCGTGATCCTGAGTCCAAATGCTTGTAGTTTACTATTTATGTCAAAAACTTTGAAAATTAAAAGTCGTGTATATTGGCATTTTCACAGATACAAAAGACTATTTCTCAAACTTCTTGTAAATTCTGTGAAATCAGCTTATTCAACTGGATAATAATATTCTCTTTTGTTTCCCAACCATCTAATTCTATGTTGTTCTATGTTAATATAAAGACCAAACAGAATGAATCCCAAAAAGTCTTGTGGAGTTCTTATTATAGATAGTGATGCAAAGTTGGGGAAACTCATCACTCTGAAGTTATAATGTAAACATCCAACGTGGTAGTTAAAGATGAACATTTTCTCTCTCTGTGATGAATGTCACTAAACTCACTTGATTAGGGCTGAGTGGAAATGAATGTAGTTCATTAGCCTCATGTTGCATCTTTTGGAATTACGCTGGATTTTACTATAT